GACTGAAAACTCTTCCAGTTATGAAAACTACTTTTTAGATTTGTTGTTCTAGTGATTATAATCAAAAGATGTATTTTATAATTGAAATTAAAATTAAGAATAAAAATCTGAATTTATTAACGCTCGAACAAATTGCTAAAATTAGTGGACTTACTTTGCCTGTTCAATATTTCTGTCAATCAGAATTAAATCTTCTTTTTGTCGATGTAATAATGATATATTCTTTTCTAGACGTATTTCTATAAAAATAAGAAAAGAAGATAGAATAATTCTAGACAACAAACTATAAACATACTTTTTTCATCTAATTTTTTCCGTTTATCATTCTGTAAATTTTTCTGCATATCTAAATTATGTTTTTGTATCTTATGATGATATTTTACACATTCTACTTTTAATTGTCGAGCTTCACGTTCTTTAATCTATAATGAAAAAACTTATAAGTATAGATCTTATTAGTCTAAATGTATAATTCTTTCTACAGATAAGAATCTGATGGTTTGTTTTCTACATTCTATTTCAATAGAATATTATACTATATCTATGTAACAAATTGTGAACAGAGATATTAGAGAAAGAGAAATGAAATTTAGTTTTGTATATATACAAAATAAACCATATTTTCTTCTACTTAAACTGATGTTTCTCTTTCACTTTAATTGTGAGAAATTACACAAAACTACGCATAAGATTTACGCATGTCATGTAAAAATGAAGTCAAAATAACACATACCGCTTCAACATAAATTTGATTTGTCGTAATATATTTTTTAAGACTATGCAAACATATTTTAGATGAGTTTTTCTCATTTTGTATCGCATTGATAACATTTATCATTCTTTAAAAAAAAAAAATAAAAGAGCAAAACAGTTTTTGTTTAGCTCATCCTTTATTTTTATATATTTGTTTACCTGTAAATACTTTCTTTATTGTATGATTTATAACGTGGTAACATTGTAGATGGTAATGATATTAAATTTGTCGATGTTTTATTATTTGAACTTTGTTGTAACTGATTGATTTCATCACTATCACCGAACGCGTATCCAAACATTTCCAAATATAACGAATTTATTCGATCATATTTCTAAAATTAATATTAATCTATTTCTATTTCAAACTAATATATTTAATAAAATATTTTCTTACTTTTATTTATTTCTTACCTTACCTCTTACCTCTTCATTTGGTTTTAAATCATTTAAATATATTTGATATTCAATAAATAATCGTTTTGTAGGATTATTTTCTCCATTCAGTTTTCTATTTCTATTTGATATTATCCATACACGCATAATAAAATCTAGAATACAGATATATACACAATTTAGTTGAGTTTTGTTATTCTAGTCTTTTTTTTTTACACGTTTACCTTGAAGACACTGAACGGATTTCGGAAATATTAAATTTGTCCATTCAGGATTCTAGAATAATAACCATGACACAGAACTTTAAAAAAGGAAAATAACAAAATATACTGGAATACTTACACGTTGATTTTCAATCTGTTCACTTGTATAAAAAGCTAGAAAAATGAATTTATAAGGCTTATTCTTAGAAAAATGAAATCATAAACTCACCAACTGTATTTTCTGTACGATGTAATGTAAAATGAACTATAAAATCAAATTCATTTAATGTCAAATTTCGTAATGATACAGCTGTGATTCTTCGTAAACGTTTCTAAACAACAACAACTATTACTAACAAATCTATGATGTCTAATTTAATAAACAAAATATTTACTTTAATAAAGGGTACGGATATTAATGGAATTTTTTTTGTTCCTAAGAGTGACATAATTAATATTTCTGGACATTAAGAACTTTAATAAGATAATGTGATTGTTCTAATCTGGAACGATGTAATCTATAAGGACAATACTAGAATGATCATACAGTGAGTATCGATTTTTATTTTCAATTTCTCGAAAAAGAATAGAATTGTTATTCTATTAAAACCGAGAAAAGTTAGAAATGTTATTTTGTAAACAAGTTAGTAATAACAACGTGGTTTATAACATTTTATTTTCGCTTTCAAGAACATTCAAAACATAACGAGAAGAGTTTGTATGTGTACATAAAATCAAAATCCGTAATAAAGTTTTTTCAAAAAATCGACATAAATATACAAAATAGAATTTCATAACAACTTAGGACATATGAAAAGAAAATATAAAACAAAAAGTATTCTCAAATGAATAATTAAAACAATATGAGAAGTTTGACCGTATAATTGGACGATGTTCCATTAGAATTGACAAGAAAAACCAAAATACATCTAGAATTCACTTTTGATAATAAAAAAAAACAACAACCGATCATCACACTCTTTGGACAATATTTATTTATCACAATGTGTGTTGGTTCTGAATAATAATTAATACGAAGATGAGACTAATTAAGATATTTTATATATTGCATAATAGAAAAGTGTCTGTATAATAATCATACGCCCACAACCCCTTGACAACAACTTTTAACAGCATTTCTAAATGCAAAAAATGGCATTCTTCTATGAAAACAGATGTAACTTATTTTTAGACAGTTTAAGTGAAACAAGATCAAAATAAACATACCGTGCAAATGGAATATAAGACAATGTATACCATGCTAAAGACAAAAACTGTAATATAATGAAAAGGAACACAAGTACTCCATTTTTAATCTAAAAGAAGAAAAAAATAGATAACAATAGTTCACATTCTACAATAGAACCACTTGAGATAAAAACTACACTTCTAAAAGACACACACAAAGGGGAAAAAAGGAAGGAAGAATACCCTTCCTTGTAGCTACCGGTATAGGGCACTGCCGAATGACAGTTTAATTAGTCCAATATCTTCTCTGTAGTTGACAAGTTTCTAAAATGATTGTCTTGTTACTAGTCATCAACTTTCCGGAAAGTCACGAAGACTAGCCGGAGAAGTTTATTGTACGTCTCAACGTAGTGAGTATGCTATCGAATGTGTGATCGGAGGCACCAAGACATAAGTAACTTGCTCAAGGTTATTACATGACTTTGCCGGCATCGAGGTCCGAACACAGTACTTTTGAAGTACATGACGAACAATATAGCCATCAAGTCATGCTGTTAACGGTAACAGGTGTCTTTAGTGAATAGAAATGCACATACGCAATGAAAAATAGTAACTGATAACTTGTGTTACTTACTGCTAATGCCGAAACAAGTGTCATAATCAAACAAATCTAGAGTAAATTGAAAAGTCATTTTCTATATACGAAAAAAGTACTAAGAATAAACGATTAAAACATACTAGAAAAACGATCGTAGCAAAAATTCGTGTTTCAGCAAACATTTTCTTTAACTGATTCAAAGGTCCCATTAGAAAGATTGTACTAAAGAAAAAAATGTAAAAATATTTAGTAAATAAACAACAAGATGACGTATAATTTTGACATACGATCCAAGTGAAAGTATATTGGCAAATGTGTATAGTACGGCAAAACCAATAAGATTTCCACCAGCCCAAAATACAATAATTGACTGAAATAAAAAACAGAAAATGAAATATAAGAATATACATAATTTTTTAAAAAATACGTACGCCTACTCCTAGGAGTGCTCCAATTAGAAAACAAATTGCAAATCCTTTTATGCGGGTATCCCATGAGAGACTTTGAACCTGAGAAGAAAAAGAAACGTTATTTCAATTCTACATCAATAGAGTCAAAAATAAATTAAAATAAGCATTAAATAAAGCATCCGTTATAAATAACCCATGCAAAAATCAGAAGGAAATCAAGAAGCAAATTAATTTTTATATATAATGAGCAAGCAATTATTGTGTGTATATTGAATTTTTGAGCTCATACCTCAGGCATTGCCAAAATTGGACTACCTTCATCTTCTACATTCTCTCCCGTTACAAAACGTGTTAGCTTGTTCATCGTTCAGTTTTTTTCTTTTCAAAACCTCAGACGTTCTCACAAGAACAAAATCATTTCAAGAAGAAAACAACAAAGAAAGAAAATTGTAGTAAGACAAAACTCAATAATCTAAAGATAAATGGAAAGATTCTCATTACAACAATAATAAACTATTCGAAAAACCTGTTATGTTGTCTCTTTTTTTTATATAAAAAAAAGATTTTGATCATTACGCATAGTTTACCGTTGAAACCTCAGTATGTGAATATGTTCCGCTAATAGTAAAAACACGTTTTAATCTCTCCATTATTGAAGTAACGAAAAATTTTGATCAAAACAATAGAGAATATGATCTGAAAAAAGAATTATCATATTTTTCGTTTCGAAAACTGTCATAAGGTGAATGTACTCTGATAAAAACAAGAATTAATCAGGTGAAGTATCATTCTTTCTCTTGACTATTTTCGATTCAAGACGTAGAATAAAGTTTGTTTAATCAGTTAAAAATGACTTATTGTAGGTATTCCATTTAGCATTAATAAAATTGTTATAAAAATGAAAGATTTTCAAATCAACATTTGTTTTATTGATCTTAATATTTATTTATGTTAGTAGAATAGCAAAATAGTGTCATTTATCGAATCAATGATACATGCATGTAAAAAAAGCTCAGGCTAAATACTTAAGCTTTTGCTTGCGAAATTTTTTGTTTAGATATAAAATTATTTCAGAATACTACTGTATATTCACGCTAAAATAATAACCTAGTAATAAAAAATAATACTATACTAGTAAAAAAACTATCTCTTCTCTCAACTAAACAAAGTCGATCTTTTATTTATGAATAACAAGAAAATCATTGTATATACAGGAAAAATACGCGAATATTACATTATTTTAACTCAGATTCAACAACCACTAATGAGATCATTAGAAATGATTAAAGAAAAAAAAAAGACACTTTTACATACAAAAAAAAATAAGAGATAAAAACCAATACCAAAAAAAGATTGTGCAAACAAATAAAAAAGAAATCAATGAAAAACTGAGTAAATAAATCATTCATTGTTTTTGTTATTGCACCAGGAGAGAATAAAACATAACAGTTACTAATTCGTTAGAACATTAGTCAATTCCAATTTTTTTAATGCATCATGTAATACATCCATTTCACCTAAAGATATAAAAAAGAATTTTGATAAGCAATTTTTATTCATTTCTCACCTTTATTATTTACCACGAAGAAGACGAAACATATTAACAATTTGTTCTTTGCCATTAATGACTTCAATAGATTGTGTATAAGGATTATAGTGAACAGCAAAGGGTCGTGGAATTGTCATGGCATATTGTCTAAAACAATTCTTACAGTAAAACAATTCGTCTATTTATTTTGAAAATTTTACCTTAATTTTTCTTTGGCATCTTTGAAACTTTCGGCAAGAAAGTAAACTGGTTGAAATGATGTGATTGGATATGGTTGAATAGCAGCACGAGCCGGATCGAAAGGCATGATGGCTGGTTTATCCGAGATACAATACTAAAACCATAGAAGAATATTTTATATTCGCATAAGTATCGAAAGGCTATGTATGATGGATGATAGTCAAACTAATTTAACATTTAGATAAGTTTATAAGGTTTCATGTATTTTAGTCAAGATCTTCTCCGCGAAACATGAAAAGTTCAGACGAAAAATATTTTGGCTACAATCCTTTCAATAATTTTTTGAATAACTAATGAATGAAGATAAATGTAGACTTGTGGCTTCGCCATTCAAAAGGGAGACTTGGTAGCATCTTTTCATAAACAAAATAATTTTCACGATAAATTTTTCAATCTAGGAGAGCTTTAGAAAACCAGGTTAAATCGTTGAAATACAAATCTATTGATTTTTTTCCATGGACAGGTAATCGAGAATGTCCTCTTTAAAACGGAGCCTCACTCATAAATCATGATCTTGAATAAAAAATTGGAGCGGATTTAAGTATTTCCCCATAACGGTGATTCTATATTGTGATAGCGGATTAGTTGAATACTTTAATCCACATGTGACTTTCAGTTTTGAACTTATTATAAAAAAAAGTCTTTTAAGTAAGGATCAATACATCTCTGTTCCGTTGAAAATATTTTTCAATAAATATTTTTTATAATATCCAACTCATAAAACTCGGATATCTGTTTGGTTTATACGAGCGCAACTGATTGGCGAAACAACGTACAGAAAACCATAATGTGTTAATCTGCCTTTCATGAGACAGTCCACACATAGCTCAGACAGTCAACATCGCAATGAGAATGTGTTTACCTGCAACTCTCCAAACGAAGACAGTAAACCTGCTCCATAAGCACGACGTTCATTATTTTCAACACATAAACCAAATTCAACTGTGAACCAATAAACTGTTGCTAAATGTGTAATATAGTCATCAGGCGCTCCCAAACTAGCTAAACCAATTTCTTGACTGAATTCTGCGAAATCTGGATCAGCAAAGAGTGGTACATGTCTACAACGAAATAATAATAGAAAGAAAAAATAGATAAGATAATTTGAAAGAATCATGTTAATATTACCCCAAAAGTTCATGACAAACATCTGGTTCTGGAGTATACATTGGTACACTATAGTGGCGGATATATTGTGTTGAATGAAATGTGCGAAATGCAAGGCCAGCTAAAAAGTCTCGCGATGATAATAATCCTAAAATGAATGATGAAATGTCTATTTAAAATATTTTTCTATTAAAGAAGCGCACACTCACCAGCAACAGGGCGTAAACGAAAACCCGTACAATCTCTCAAAAATTGTGATACGTCTTCTAATTGAGGTATATTATTTTCACTGTAACCACAATTATCGATAAGTCTAAAAATAGAAGAACTTGTTTAGTGTTAAAATAGAAGAACCAGACGATAATAATCTATTATAAGTTTATAAAAGTTCAATAAGACGTTCCAAGCATAACTGTCTTTGCAAATTCTTTGTTCTTCGAAGAGAATACTTACAATGCAAATATGTTGTTAAACTCTTTACAAGCATGTGATGGATACAACTGAGTTAGTTCTCTGAAAACAGTTGACCATGTTTGAATTTCTTGTTCAGTATATGTTACACGTGGTATTGGCTCATTATGACGATAATTCATTGCTATATCAGCAAATTCTTTTCGTCGTTTACGATATAACACATCACGAAAGCCAGGATGATCTATAAAGACATAAATATTAGCCATAATTAATAAACTAAATTCGTTCGTAACAAGATTTTACCAGATTCTAGTTCTGAACCATACGACAATATACGATTGGCAAATTGATCTAGTTCACGAATTTTTCGAGGAAACCAAGGAACTATAAACAAATAATAAAAACATTCGTAATTGAAAGTAATAAGAAACGGATAAAAAATCCAAAGAGAAACAACATAGCTAAAATGAACAGTGTACTATAATCTGATATTTGATATTAAATATCATTCATTTGATTACTTGCAAGAGAAGAAAATATATTTTCCTAGTTAGTCTGATTAGAATTTTTTATCTATCTAAATCGATTTGTTAGTATAAATCTTGTTTATTCATTAAAGAACAGTAGAAAAAGTCATCTGTCTGTTTTCGATGAATTAGTAGCTACTCGTAAGATTTTTGAAAACACTTGAGTAGAAAATATAGCAATCATTTTTCTACTGTTTTCTAATCTCATCGATGAGACCTTTCTTAATTATGACATATTGTTTTTTGTTGTACAGAATAAACTTAAATACTAACCTGATTCTTGTAACGCTTTATGGGCTCGTGATAATATATGAATATATTTACTACGTTGTCTTAATTCTTTCACCGCTTCTACAATACCACCCCTACTATTATCACATTCTACATAAAATTCATGATCAGTTTTATTTTGTCTTGCTAAACGTGATTCAATATGTAGGAGATTTACACCATGTTCCTAAAAATCAATAAACTAGTAGTTAAAGATCTATATCATTCATAGTATGAAGAAGAAAGCCATCATTGGTCAATCTAAAACTAGCTGTTCTTTTTATTTATTTATTTTTTTATTATCAAGCGCATAATTTTATAAATCACTGTTGTAAAAATTAATAGCAAGACAAACAATATATGTTAGTGGAGAAAAACGCATATTGGAGATTTACACTATGCATTTCTCGATCCCAATCGCTAACTCCCACCCATCACACATTTGCAAACCTATTTAGTCGTTGTTTATACCATCGAAATCATTGTTCTAAAAATGTACACATTGAAGTGAAACACAGCACATATATAAATAGGCATAACTGAACTTTGAATGAAAATAATGAAATTAACTAATTATCTGATGAGCAAAACTGACACTCATAGCTTTCATTTTTCAAAACAATCGTTCATACATTTGATCAATCTCACAACAACAAAAAAAGCTAGGAAAATGTTGAAAGAGCTATCATTCTTATTTTCAACTAGTTAATTTTAACATTAATCTTATTGAGCATATAAGATGACGATAACAAATTTGAGAAGATAAAAAACAAACCTCAAATATTTGTAATGCTTTGGATAAACTTCCAACTGCTTCTTCATTGAGTGCAAATATTAAGGAAGTTTTTGTTGAACGTTCTTCGCCATAACGAGTGTCAAATTCAGGCTAAAAAAAGAGAAAATCCATAAGAAATTTGTCTGAGATATAAAATAAGCTACATTTAATTAAAATTATATTAAAGATTAAAGCATGTCGATAATAAAATAACAAAACTATATAGTAAAAAGGTGTCCAGAGAGTTATTTTGCCTATTGAGTTTTGCTACCCAAAACGAATCTTAATTAAATGCTCTTGTTCTAAAAAAGTTTGGAATAAAAGTTCATGCAACATGCGTATAAAATAAAAAATAACTAAAAAAAGCTAGCAAAAGCAGTATTTATGCTTAATAATAACCTCTAGATCATGTCCAGATACCGATTTCAATGATGTATCCAATTTTTGTTCTCCAGGATATCCAGAGGCCTAGACAAACGCATTTTTTTCTTACGAAATTGAGAAAAAAATATAATTTAACTAACCTCAGATATCGTTCCCATTTTTGTTAAAATTACGATCAGAAGCTAATTTAAAAGAATGAGAGTTTGAAAGTGTTGCTTTTAAGCTGTTGTAATTCAGTTAAACGTACTCCTTTGTGATAAAAAAAATCGTTGAATGAAACTAATAATTGTACTTTAGTACGTATTTATTTATTCATTCATACATTCGGTCGTTCGTTCTACAATATTTCCTTATATGCGCATTTAATTGTTGGCACCAGATTGAATTTAACAGTACGAAGAAGAAAGATGTGGAAACATCTGATTCTTCTAAAATAAGTATCTAAAACAAAGGTACAGCTATGAAAGAAGAGAAATTTGATATTTGTACCTAAACTCATTTATACCGAGTAAGGATGACATTTGTTTGAATGAGGAAAGAGATGTACTCGATTCAACCATTTTATATGAGCAGTACAAACAACTTTGACGTTAGGGGAAAATACTAATATTCTCTTAACTGGTGCCGATGAAAGTTCTAATCTCTTTTGAGCTCTGTGTTACTTCTGAACAATGAGGGAAGAAGATGAGGATGACAAAATAAATAAAATAAATAAATCCTTGTTGATCACAGTAACGAATTATACTGGTCGCATAGTTTATCAAATCGTTTACTAGTTAACTTTTACTAATATTTTACAAGACACGGGCTCATTCATACACTTTCCACCTGAAAGTAGATCTTAGGAGCTTCTATAAATCAGAAAGCCATCTATACCCTTTTGCGATCGCTCTCTACGCTCACGATTTATCGACTAGTAGCACCATCTGCAAGAGGATACGAAGAATGCACGAGAGATCTGGTAATCTGAATTATCTAAATAACATTTAGGTTTATCGAGTACTTCTAGCATGTGAGTAAAGTTAATACATATTTTTTCTCCAAATTTTCATTGAAAAAATAGTTGTCGAAAACGGTGTAATTCTTCGACCTGGGATTATGGGTCGTTAACAACCTTTTGTTCAAACATTTTCCGAAGTCAGTTTTTTTCTAGCTAGTAACCTTATGAAAGCTGAATATTACAAATTTCAATATTTTTGGTTCCTTAGAAGCACGGTACCATCACTGGTAGCAGTCCCAGAACTAAAGAGTATTCCCTCGCGCAGGGCCGTAAATAGGAAGTCAACTTTGGAGGGTGTAAAAACTTTTTTTGGAGAGGTGTAAGAAAAAAATTTTCGCTGTGCGACCAAAACTAACGAAAAAAATTTTAATTTCCGCTGGGAGGAAAGGACAAATCTTTATTTTTGCGGTTATCGTGCACACACCCTCCCGCTATTTACGACCGCGCCCTTACGACAAGTTTCAATGACTTGTGTAGTCCCAGGTCAAAAAGTCAGATCAAGATTTTACACGTTCTTATAAAATCTTATAAAAATCATACAAGAATCTTACGAAATCTGATGAAATCTTACTATGAGATCTTATATCAAGAATCAGTTTCTATATTTCTTACAGAATTTTACAAATGCTTATACGAATCTTACGAAATCAGACGGAATCGTAGAAGAATCTTAAAAGACAGCAAGATTCTTTAACCTGGGGTGTTTTCAGAAGAAGCGGGTCCAGGTCAAAGAATCTTGTTGTCTTTTAAGATTCTTCTACGATTCTGTCTGATTTCGTAAGATTCGTATAAGCATTTGTAAAATTCTGTAAGAAACATCGAAACTGATTCTTGATATAAGATCTCATAGTAAGATTTCATCAGATTTCGTAAGATTCTTGTATGATTTTTATAAGATTTTATAAGATCGTGTAAAATCTTGATTTGATTTTTTGATCTAGGTGGTTAAATTCTGACATTAAACGACTAACGCTTTAAATGCTAGGTTTTTTCTGATATTTTAACTGTTCCAAAAAGGCATGTTAACAGACAGTTCACGACGATGTGAATTTCAGTTTTAAGTAAGAAATTCGAAAGGGGCACACAAAAAATAGATTTTCTTGAAACATACATGGTCAGATAGAGCTCGACGAGTAGATTCCTAATATGTCCTTGGAATTGAAGTTTCATCAAGTTTGGGAGAATAAATCTTCAAAATACGAAGAAAGTATGAAAAACGGCATTTTTGACCCTTTTTGAGAAAACTTAAGATTTTACCTTTGTTATCACTGTAAAGCTTTGAAACTAATTTATTCGGATTCAGCATCAAAAATTAAGTATAGCCATATAAGTCTGACCATCTTTCAGCGTTCTTGTTGCTCTCACTAGGACGGACTAGTCAATCAAGCCGCTAAGGCATACCCTCCTCTGCCAAACCTATGTAGTCTTTTGTTTGAAAAGCTTTCCCCAGCTATCATACACCATTCGAACCGCCATTCGACGGTGAACAAAGTTACACATCTCTTTCGAAAACTTTTGCTTCCTCGCTGAAAAACGTAGGCTTTACTGGGAGAAATCGAAATTCTGATCTTAATTCGCAATTTTCTCCATCAGAACTCAACTGTCATCAACATATTCGGAATCAGCGTCAAAATCGAGTCGAATGATATATATTTCAAACTTTTTCGTTGCTTTTCATTTTTCGATGAAACCCCCAGTAATTCTTCGACGGGAAAATTCAAAAAAAATTAAAGTGATCGAACAGGATAAAAAAAGTACATCATTCGACTCGATTTTTGACGCTGATTCGAATATGATATTTTCATTGCTTGAAAGTTGAGCTCTGATGGAGAAAATTGCGAATTACTTGGTAAGTATTTAGAAAAATTAGTTGTTGAAAAATTCGTTGTTATGTCTCTACGAGTTCTTCTGCAAGATTACAATGGTCTGTTTTGTTTATTGTCCGACGACGTACTCTTCTGAAAATACTTAATGAGGAAGAATTTTTTGTGAAATAAGTTCGACTTTTCTAAAAAGCTGTATATAAGGTCGTTGTTGGGATTAGTAGATCAACTTCTATTTTTAATATAATACCAGGAAGATAAACAACCATTAATAGAGTGTTTCGAATTATTTTTTATACTCTATCAGCATGTTTTTTATGTCCGCTGTTATTATTCTGTCAAAACAAAAATATATAAAAATACAAGTTCATCTACTAACCCCAACTCACATACGCGTATATTCCTGTACAGGAAATATGTTTTATTTGTTTTATCTGTTGTTTTATTTTGTCATAAGCATATAAAAATGATAAAAAACAAACACATATGGGAAGTATTTGGGAAAGGACCAACATACAGAAACATAATGAATGAACTGGAAGTATGCATATAAAAGTGTAACAGAAGGTGTGAAGCGAGACATTTCTAAAATAGCGAAGAAAGAAAAAATATCAGCAGTTCATTTTCGACCTTGAAAAATGGAATTACTTCAACTGATAGAAAAGAACAGCTATAAATCGAGCTGAAAAAACAACGAATTAATTACAGAGCGTATAGTTTGTACAAACCAAATATGAAATGGTAGAAAATTTTAAATGAAATTCGCTTGATACACGAAAAATATGTTATCACTCCTATACATAGAGCTAGTCAAAACGTAGAAGAGAAAATCAAAACATATGAAATAAGAAATATCGAACAGATTTCTATGTGTAATCTCTTTTCTCTTACAATGGCCACGTGTACTCTATAGAATAGTATGGATCGCAAGCAAAAAAAGAATACTCCCTTGTCCGACAAAACGATCCGTAAACGGAAGTAAACGACTGAAAAACGATATATTTATCGGTCCAGGCGCATACATGGTGGATGCAGGATATGTGAACATTTTGATGTAATCTGAAGTCGAATTAGACTTTAGAAAAATTCAGGGTTTTTACTGCACTGGAGACGTCAGTCGGAAACGCTTCCGTTTAGGAAAACACCAATTTTCTCCTTACCGCTTAACTCTGAGACAATATTTTTTTCAAAAATGTAAGCGAAACAGTGCAGATTCCGAATATCTATACCTCATAACTTACCATATAATCCAAAATATCGAAAATATTTTGCCGGCGAAAGACGCTTTTGAGTGGGTCGTATTTCACTTATAGGCTTTGTCAGCTGGAACAAAAAATTTTTCGCCATTAGATAGCCCAGTCTTTGGAGTATTTATGAGGCTATTTTAATTTCGAAAAAGCTTACTTTCGATTTTTCTCCAAATGTCCGCCTGCATGCCCTCTGTGTGGTGTTCCTTTCGTATAGGTCTTGTCTTGTTTCTGGTACATTGGATTCAGTGAAGTCTAAGGGTTTGCCTAAAAATTAAATTCAAATGGTATTTGTTTACAATAAACTCTGATGGTAAGTCTGATCAACATCAATCTACAATCTATCTATCACAAATAACTTTAAATCAAGAAAATACAGGCGATAAAAAGGCGACATTCTTAGATTTTGAGATAGAGATAGTTAAATGTAGAATAAAACTTATACCGTATAATAAATGGAAAAATAGATAGGATATAAATAGAAGGAATAAATAGAAAATAAATGAAAATAGTAGAGTACTATGGGGTAAAAAGAGTCAGTTCACGAAATTTTCGTCGTAATTTCACTATTTCTTCTCCGTTTTTAACTGAAAAAATTCGATATTCACCACGATAGTAAAGCCGACAATAGTACAAAAATTTCTTGAAAATTCATGTTGGTTTTCCAGATGTATTCAAATGGGAGTCGACTGATTGTGACTGACTCTTTTTACCCCGTATGGGGTAAAAAAAGTCAGCTCACTTATGTCGATGGGATAAAAGGAGTCACTCCATTGAAATCCATGGAGATTTTTTAAAAGCATCGTAGCTCATTAACGATGAATGCTAATTAATTAAAAATTATATCACTGCGAAGCTCTACTCTTCCTCTATCGAACCATATGATTTTTTGTACTATTGTGT